TTTTATATACGAGGGACATAACATCCTCCAAGATTCCGATGCTTACGAAATGTGACAAATGGTGATTCGGGAAATATTTTTTTAAGTTTATCGTCGGCATGTAGGATGTTTAAATGGCGCTTCAATATGGAATTCAGGCTTGATAGGTTCGAATAGTAGTTTATGGACCAACGGAACCCTTGTTTCGTTGGAGTGAAGCTGTCGTGTGGATTCAAGGAGTGTGCTACGTTCCAGAGGCGGATGCCTTTTCTTGTGGCGTCGTCGAGAATAGATGCAGGATATTTTCTTTTGAATAGTGTATTCTTCAAGGACGTTACGTTTTCCTTAAAGTTCGATTCTTCAGAACAGATTCTACGCAACCGGAGGAATTGGCTGTAAGGTATATTATTTTTTTGACATTTCGGGTGGTAGCTATCATAGCGTAGAACCTGACGTTTGTCTGTGGGCTTTCGGTACAACTCCGTTATCAATGGCTTCCCATCTTTTTAACGTTAACGTCGAGAAAGTTCCATAGAGTCTGATGAGTAATTACAGGTAAATTTTAATTGTACGGTGGCAACCGTTGAGGTAACTTAGAAAAGAGAGGAGTGCATCTTCAGTGTCGTTCCAAATGATAAATATATCGTCAATATACCGAAGATATATCGCGGGAATCTTGGCGTAAGTCCACACAAAGGTCTCCTCAAAACTTGCCCATAAAAATATTAGCGTAATTTGGGGACATTCTCGACCCCATGGCCGCGCCTTGAATTTGCAAATAATGATCATCATCAAACATAAAGTTATTGCAGTCTAAAATTAATTCCAATAATCGCAGAATACAGCTACTGTCTGCGAGAGACGAAGGGTGGAGGAAAAGGAATTCCTCCACGGCTGCTGCCAGTCCCTCATTATGTGGGATGTTAGTGTACAAAGAGCTCACATCGATAGTGACCAGAATGCTCTCCTGTGATATTAAGCCGGATCCGTTCATATGGTCGATACGATTAAGAAAGTGCGTGGTGTCCTTTACGTAGGATTGTAGGAGGGGAGGTATATGTTTAATAGCGTGGTCTAACAAATTCTGAAATTCGTTCGGTCCGGTGTGCTATGCCTGATATAATGGGCCTTCCCTGGATTGTTGGGGCTTTGTGAACCTTGGATGAGCATATAGAAGACACCTGGATGAGCGTTTTTTGACTGAAGGTAATTATATTGATCGCCGTTAATTTTATTGGAATTACGCAGATCTTCAATTGTTTTGTTAATTATAATACTAAACCGCTGGGTAGGATCGTCCAGGTAGACGTAGATAAAAATTTGGGTTTTCAAGCTGGGTCAATGCCTCCCGCATGTAGTCGGCCTGTTCATAATTACAACACCGCCACCCTTATCCGCAGGACGAATAATGACGTCCTCCCTAGACTTCAAATTATTAAGGACCTGTTGCTCACGTCTAGACAAATTACCCCTCTGTGGGGTAGTTTTAGCAAGCGAATCAAAAAATATCATTCCGGTATAGCTTGTACATAATTATCTATGTACACACACTGGTCTTGCTTGAGTCCGGGGTCCAGTGTGACTTCAACTTGAAATTTGGTGTTGTGCTATCAAGACCCCCTAGTTTCATTGCATCCCTCTTTTCCATTAAAATACGTTTGAAGGTGTAACCGCCGGGAGAACTGCTGTAGATCATCTAAAAGTTCAAATTCTTTTGCTGCCTGTGGGGTGGGTACGAAACTTAAGCCTCTAGATAAAACTGAACACTCCGTAGAGGTCAGGGGAGTGTCAGATAGGTTAATTACTGCACAGTCGCTTGTTTCATTAGAACTACCAGCCACATCTGACACACTGTTTAGGGAAGGCAGTATATTATCGTTGTTAACCTTTGACAGGGAAAGGCCATCACGGTGCGCTTTTTTTGCCTTATCAATTTTCAACTCATCAAGCTTTTTATCTGCAAATACGTTAAGGTCACTAATCTCCTCCTCGGTTAGTTCGGCAACGACAGTTTTTAGTTCAAGATCAAGATGTTTGATCACAGTTAGGCTCTC